TAGTACAGCATTGTATTCTGGGTTTACAACATTACCATTTACTAAAATGAAATAAATTCTTTCAAAAATATAATATAGAAAAATCTCGCCAATATGAAAACATAAACACTATAGTATTTACATCTCTATTTATGTTCTTAGAAATACAGTAGTGGCCAAAATTATAAGAACAAAAAGAGTATTTTGTGTTTTTGGTATCAAATATAGATAGAAAGATAGATAGATAGATAGATAGAGAAATCCATCCTAAACAGTTTTATTAAAAAAAAGATTTTAGAAATGATTTATGTTCGAATTTAAAACAATACTTTGTTACTCAAGCAAAAATACGGGAAAATAGCAGTTCATCACAGTTTTTTGGCTATTAGAACTTACAAGTAGATGAGAAAGAGGAGAGCTTGCGCTACAAAACAGTCGATTTTCCTTTTTCGAAACGTAGTTTGTCATAAGGGTAACACCGTCGACATATTTATAATATAAATAGCAGCAATTTCAAGCCAATTTTGATGCCAAAAGTTAATGTTTACTATAAAATAGCCTTATCTTTGTAACAAATTGCTTTTCCCAAAGGAAAAATCGGCTATTTTGTAGCGCAAGCTCTCCTCTTTCTCATCTACTTGTAAGTTCTAATAGCCAAAAATCGTAAATTTTAGTAAGCATGGACTAGCTACGACTTCACGCTCAATAGAAGGAAATCTGATCTTAGATTCGGATAGAGCACGTCAAAATAGATACTTAAACTATTTCAGGTAGACAAAAAGTACTGGAAAATAAAATGAACAACAGAGAAAAATGCTTGTTCTTATAATTTTGGCCACTACTATATTTATAAGTGCTTTATTATTGATTTGTAATGTGTTCCCTACTAGATGTACTCTATCGTGGATTATCAAATCTTTACAAATACATACGTTTAATAGCTGTAACGATTTTACTGGATAATTTTCCTATAACACGTCCTTTGAGTTGATCATTAGCAGATTTAGTCTTTGCAATATTTTGCCAATGAGCATGACCAGCATGTCGTCGAGCATCGCCTACATATAAAATATTTTCATATTGATTATCATCAATTTTAGTATTTTACATACAATTAGTTGATTCTACTGTTAGTAAAGATCTTGCTGTAAAATAACTCAATCTCGATGTCACCGAACAATATCGGACTAGATTTACGACACTCATTAGGATAAAATATCTAAAAGATTGAATAAATAATTTTATGTTGTATATCGCGAAGCAGAAAAAAGACAAAAAATGTTAAACATCGAGTTGGGAAATGGTGGTTTAATAACAAACAACAATATAATAACGAACAACAGAAAAAAGTATCCAAGAGCAACTAGAGGTGAAGAGAGAAAAAAATCAGATCATACAAAAAAAATTTATATGTGAATACACATTGAAAATAAACAATGCGAGATAATAAATAGATCAGATACGACGTGTCCGCGATTTTGGTAGTTCTAATGGAATGAAGAAAAAAATAATAATATCAAATATAGACAACGACGATTATACATGCATAAAATCAAGATTATATGTGTATAGATCAAGGAAGTTAAAAAATGATCATAGATTATTTTTATTTAAAATTGAAAATTTATTTTGCACTTGTTTGTTGTTGTTGTTTCAATTGAAGTAAAACACTTCTATAACGTGTTAAATCTTTTTGTGAACGATTATTTTTTGGATTAAATTCGCATAAACTTGTTATTTTATCCCAATCATTTATTTTTCCATTGGATGTCGAATTATTACCATTACTAAAAAGATCATCTTCTAATGTACGATTATTTAAACGATTTTCTCCTTTAACACGTTCCATTTGTTCGACACGTTGTTTATAAAAATCATCTAATTCTTTTTTAGCTTGTTCACGCATTTCTTTACGCTTAACTTCTTCTTCTGTATCTTTTTTATTAATACGTGTAGAAAATTCTTCTCGCCATTTTAAAATTGTTTCCGGTTCGTTCAATTGTGATAATGCTTGATATTGATCACCATTTTGACTAGATGGATTTGGTGAAATACTACCATTTGTATTGATAGCTGGTGAATGTGCACCTAATACAAACAATAATTTATATTAAAATAGAAAAATATATGATGATAGATACCGTTTGTTAATGATACACTATCTGTATTGAATGGATCTTCAAATGCATTAATACCATTGTTACCTGTTATATCACCTAATTCTCGTTGTTCTCGTTCTAGAAATTCAGCAGCTGGATCTTCATCATTGAAATTATCGAAACTATTGGGAGTATCATCATTGATGGATACATTGCTAGTGTTAAATGGATCGTCGAATGCCATTGTTTTTATTTTTATTGAATAGATAAGAGTATGTCTTTAGTGGAAAAAAAAGAAAATAAATGAATCGATTTTGAACGGAATAAGAACGAGAAGAAAATTAGACTTAATCGATATTTTTCTTCTTCTCGACGATGCCAGCTATATTTTTATTTATTTACATTGTTTATCTTATTATTGATTGGATGCATAGCTAATAAACATTTCAACCAATAGAAATAATATTTTCAGATGTCACTAGTGAACAATTGTATGCCCATTTTCTATTATCACGCACGAAAATAAATATAACTTAATACCAATTTAAACAAAAATAAAGTTTATTAAACTATATTCTATGCAAAACAAATGTTTATGACTAAATAGGATCATATATATTAAAAAAAATGAGTCTAGTCTGTATTCAAGAAAAGGAAACAAAAGAAAAACAATATTATGAGACTAAAAGAGATAATCCATGTACATCCCTTTCGATATTATTCACATAATCAACTAATGGTTTTAATTTAAGAAGTGTATTTCGTATATCTTCATGTTCAATGATTTTTGAATGAAGAATAGAATATAAATGACCATAAAGATGAGCATCAGCTTTTGTAAAACTTGAAAATAAATAAGGAAATTACATATGATATAGATCTTTATATCAATACATACTTATCACCAAATAGATATGTTGAATTATTTTGTTGGATTTTATCCGAAAGTGCTTTAACAGTTGTTTCAAATTTCATTACAGCCTAAAATAAAATTTTTTGAAATTATTTATTTTTATCAATAAATCAATATACTTGTTCATATGTTAAAGACCAAATTTCTTTTACTTTTAAAATTTTAATTGTATGTTTTCGATAGATTAAATAAAGAATTAAACCAAGAGGCCAAGGATAAACAGATATAAATGATTGATATACAGTCTAAGAATAGTAATAATACAATAGAATAATATGTTAACAATACTATTTAAACTAACCGTTCCAGCTTTTTCACACAATAAGAAATATTTCTAAAAAAAAAACAAATGAATTCACAAAGAACATTTCATATTATGATATAAACCATTAGAGTTCCAAGTGTTTCAGTACATAATATTGAATAACTATCTGCCATTGAATTTTCTTCATTATCTATCGGAAGTAATCCCTGTGAAGTGATAATAAAATAGAGAATAATTTTCAAAGAAAAATTTACTTTAAGTTCAATTAAATTAGCTATTTCATCAAATTCACTAAATACACGATTATTCAATGTTAATACTGGTGGAATACCTAGAAGAAATAATTTAATAATTAAACCAATAATCTATATAGATATTTTTACCATAATTTGACATCTCAGCAGCATTACGAACATGTTCAATATGTAAAGATGGAACACGTACTTTACGTAATAGACATAATGTAGCTAAACAATTTGGTGCCCAAATAACCATTTGTTCTTTCAGTGGGACATAAAGACATGCATTCGTTGGCCATGGTTCACGAGCTAAAATAATTCAGACACTAAGATACATACATCGTCGGCCATATTATATACTATCATTAATACTTTTCTTAGAAAAATATGCCTAAACTTTTATCACACTTATTAAATAATATGGTTACCTGCTATTTCGATATTAACATTCTTTGTATTTATATCAAGAATTGGATGAATATGTTCACTTGTTTCAGCCATAAAAATCTACAAAAAAAAGAAAAACCAATCAAAGAAATGATACATGCAAAATAGCAATCCTCTAGAATTATTATTATATATATATTTATATCGAAAGATCTGTTCGCAAAAAAAAAATTAATCATACAAAATATACATAAAAAGAATACTGTCAATGTTTTATTCCTCAGATGTAACAACGAATGACCAAACTTTTCTTGTTGTTCCCATTGCAATTCGTCCAGCTGTATATGCTACTGTACCTATACCACAAGCTGTAGCTATTAAAGCTGTTTTTGCCATTGTTGTAGCAGCAACAGTTGCAGTACTAGTTGCTGCAACTGTACCCATATTAGCCAAAGTTTTTGCTAAACCAACAGCAAGTGCATGTTGAACTGGTTGTGAATTAAAAACTTTTGATACTCGTCCTTCTTCTTTGGTCACCGGTGCAGCTGCCATTACAACAATTTGATTTCCAGCTCGTACTTCATGTCTATCAAATTCAACAATAACTGGTTCATCATCATCTTCGACGAATTCTTCATCATCATTTTCATTATTATGTACAATACGAATCGTTCGTTCAATACGTTGTTCAAAATTATCCGGAACAGATTCAATAATATTAATCTTCGATTTTAATAAATCAATATCATTTTTTAATTGTAAAACACTTTTTTCATCATCAATATGACAATTTTCAAATTGATTTTGTTTTTCTTTGACTTCATTTGTTAAATTCGATGCAATTGAATCTATTTCATGCATACGATTTGTATACGTTTTATTTATTAACGAATACATTTTCTTTTGCCATGTTTTCAATTGTATAATAGCATCTAATTTAATACTATCAACATCAATATTATTAAGTTCATTTTCTAATTCTAAAACAGAATTTTGTTCCATCTAGAAATAAATCAAAATACTATAAAATATCATTGATGTGTTAGTAAATTAATATGTTAATCGAATAAAATATGTATATATATATTGCTAGATTAAAAATAATTGAAAAAAATTGATTATTTATCTTCGTGTTTTGTAGATTTATCTTCACCTATTTCATACTTCTCTGGATTTTTTGAAGGATTTTTTAAATTTTTATTAAATTTATTTTTAGCATCACTATCAATTTCACATGTCTTGGAATAATTTTCTTCACCAACAAAACATACCTAAATAAAGATTGTTTTTTTTTTCAAAATAAGAATTAATAATCTTACTTCATGTCCATCAGGATCAGATAAAATAATAACGGTATTCTTATTAAAATCTAATAAACCACCTAATTTCATTTTTGGAATAAGTAATTTATAACCTTCTTTTTCAATTAAATTTTCTATAGTATCAATATCTTTAACTGGACAACTAAAAGCTTTTCTTCCATAACCAGTTCCTCGATTAATTTCTTTCTTAATTTCAATTAATTCAAGTTGACATTGTTGGTCAAGCCGAAAATCATATTGTGATTTCGATTTATCTTTAACATCATAACTAAGTTTAACACGTTTTTCATCCGATGAGTCCTTAACGATATTCATATTCAATAATTTTGTATAATATTCAATAGATTTATCTAAATTGAATACATTTAATGAAAGACATTTGACAGGATCTTCATTTTTTGCAACATCTTTATCAACTAAAATAAAACGATGACCATCAGGTGAACTAATTATTAATGATTGTTTATTTGATATAATTTTGGATTGATCAAAATATTTCTGTGCATTAATAACAGCTTGTCGATTATGAATTGTAATCGATGCGAAATCATTTCCATATTTATAACCTTGCACATCATAATTATAATTTAATTCGAAAGCAAAATATGAATGTTCATCACCATAACTAGCGACTGTTTTTGACCATGGAGATTCAAAATTACCATTACATTGTGCCGAACAACCTGAATCCATTTCTTCATGACGAAGAATATTCATACCTAATATATCACAGAAGAATTTTTTTGTTTCTAAACGATCTGTTATTTTTAATGTATAATGAAGAAAACGTCGATCTGTACATGGAGATTGTTGTGGAACACCAAATGAGATTCCTCTAATAGTTATAGATGTATGTTTTACCTGAACAAATATATAAAGTTTAAAACTTAACACAGACTAATAAATAGATATGTTATACTGTTGGAAGAAAACATTTCTTGAGAAATTTTGTTAATATCATTTATTTACTTATTTCGCATATGATTAATGAAAGCACATGCGAATGTATAAATAAATAATATTTTTCTGATTGGTGGAAATATCAACGAATAGGAAAAAAAGGTATGAGTCTGAACAGATGACTATATCTATTTTAGAATTGTCAAATAAGCCATTATATATATGAATCGTAAGTAATTTAAATTATTTTCTTGTCATGACTAAATTATTTCTCATATTTAAGTTTATTATAAAAATAATAGAGTTTAATATTAAATTAGAAAAATTTTTTTTGTACAAAAAAAGTAAAACATGCATGTATATTTAAAATCTAAATTAATGAAAAGGATAAACTATTTTTGGATTATAAAATACTCGTTGTTCTCGATATTCTTCTGTTTGTATATATGCTGTTGGTGCATTTGTTGTAACAGGAGGATGACAAACAACTAAAGTTGGCGTTGTTAAATGAGTTGGATATTGCATAAACATATTTTGATGTTGTTGCCATTGATTAGCTGCCCATTGTTGACTTGCTTGTACTTGTTCTCTACCTCGTTGTTGCATCGCTAAGATTTGTTGATGTGTTGTCCATACTAATTCATCGAATGTTCCTGATGGTTGTTGAGCCATTTGTTCTCTAGCTAGATGATCAACAGATTTTTGTCTTGACATATTAATTGGTATTTCTAGCCGTGATGAATCAGTATGAAATTCAGCTGAATGACGACGTTGTCGTTCATAAGTAATAGCACCTGGTTCAAATTCTGTTATAACTGGTTTTTCAGTTATACGTTCGACTATAACTTCTCGTGGAGGTGCTGGTTTATAAGGTAACCATTTTTCAATAATAATTGATTGAGGCTTTGGAGGTAACTAAAGAATAGGAATTAATAAATATTACAATAATAAAATAAAAGTTTATCATACTGGTGGAGCATGCTCATATACCACACATCGTGCTGGTGGAGGTTCAGGCGGTAGCATTTTAGTTACAAATGTTGTTTCTTGATGAGGAGGTGGTGGTGGTGGAGCTTCTCGAAGAATAAGTGGTGGAGGAGTTTGAGGAATTGTTTCTGGAACTTTAACTATGAATGGTGGTGGTGTTGGTATACGTGGCGGAAGAATTTCTAGATAAATCGAAAAAAATAAATAATAAAATTTCTTTTGAATATAAAAATAATTTCTACCTCGAATAATTAATGGTCCTGGTGGTGGAGGTGTTGGTGGAACAAGGTATCGAAGCGAAATATTTTGTTCATATGTTACTTGATGTGTCGGATTTGGTTTTGAAATTATTTCTGGATTTGGATCATGATGAACATCAGGATGTGTTTGTAAAACTTGTTGATATTCTGATAGAATAGGATTACTATTAGTATTTAATTCACTACGTATATCATAATTCGTTTGTTGAATTTGTGAATAATCTATTGGAGTTGTTTTTTCAAAATGATCATATGGTGATGGAATATTCTCAAATTCTTGACTATCTGTTTGACTCTTCTGATATTGTCGACTCTCCGATAACAGATTCATATCATCAGTATTCAATTGTTGTGATGATATTGATTGATCAGATTCAAATGATGAATGACGTTCACGAATAGTAACATGATGTTTTATTGGTGGAGTTTGACCGGTAGTAGGAGTATTATTACTATTACTAGATTTTTTAAGAATTGATGTTATTGATGATGATCTTTGTTCTTTCGTATGAGATATTGTATCGTTCGATGATGAATGACTTGATGCTATACTAGCTGTAGTTACATCTGCATCATCGTATCCATAGATTTTTTGTACTTCACTTTCATAATGATTTTGATTATTCACTTGATTTGTTGTTGTTGTTGGTGGTAATCGAAAATTATTCATATAGGTATTTGATTTATAATCATTACGAGCTCGTGTATTTTGCGTCGTTTGCTCATTTGTATTATATCGAGGCAATGATGCAGAACGTTGATAATATTTTTCAAGATACCATCTTTGAAAATATTCATCAGTTATACGTGAACGCCAAACATTCACAAGTGGTCCATGAGCACCACCTGCTTTCAAGACTATATTCAATAATGCACTAACATTTTTTGTATTTGGATCTAATGTAGAACTTGAGCTTGTAATTGGTGTCGATTTTTTATAACCGATATCTTGAACAATTTGTGATAGATTAAATATATGTCCATCGATCTTCTTCGATTGAATACTTATAGGAATAGTAAATGAACTTGATGAATATTCAGAATTTATACTAAGTTGATCATCAGATTGTGAATGACGTAATAATGATGATTCAATTTGAGTACGAACAGCACGATATCGATTATCGCTTGAATGACTACGATTATGAGTCGACTAAAAATAATAAAAAAGAAATACGTAATATTATTCTAATTTTTATTCGAATAAATTAAATTATAACTTACATTATTTAATTCATTTTGTATAGTAGCAAAATTCTTATAAAGTGGTTCTACATCGACAAGATCTTCATCTGGAAAGAGAACCTCATCTCTTTCAACAAAACTTTCATCATTAGATTTTTTTGTTGCCATGATGAAGATAATTTAAACTAGTATCTTTCAATGTCTATACAACGGTCCTTTTATACCTTAGTATATGTAAGGAAACACATGAATGATTTTTTCTTTCTTTTCATTTTCATTTATAATTTCGAATAGTAGTAATGAGACATTAGTGTCCCCGCAATTTCTTATTTTTTTTCTTTTCTCATAATATGTATATGAATAATATGTACATCAGACAGATTGCTCATCTATTTCATATGACACATCGAGAGAGGAAGAGGCAGAAAAAAATATATTAACAACCTAACGAAGGACAATTTTAATTTACTGAAGGTTAAATTTAGATTTCTTGTCTTTGTAAATAATATATATATATATATATACATTCACATCATAGGACATCATGATATTAACATGTACTGGATTATATTTATTACGTAATCAATTAGTAAATTTATTAAATTTAAATGATACCAATGAAAATATATCTACAAATGATGATAGCATTCAATCAGAAATTTTATCAACAAATAACAATACATTAACAGAACAAACACCAATAGCTATACGTGATTTTTCATCACAATATGGATCAAATCGTAGTGATAGTTATGTTGTATCAAATATATGTTCACATGCTGAAATCTATCCATTATATGGTGATTCAACACATGCATTAGTTTTTCGTACATATGGTCCATGGTGGATTAATATGCCGTCGTATAAAGAAACAATAAAAAATTTTATACGTTGGGAAAATAATTTTACTAGTCGAGATTTTATTGATATTGAATATAAAGATTTTGTTTATGAATGTATTAGTTTAAATATTTATGAAACATATAATCCAGGTACACTTGAAGTTGTTTATGTTGGAAAAGAAGATGAATATGGAAATGTTACATGGCATCGTATATGGTCTTTTCCTCAACCATTTAGTATTATATTATGTGATAATGAAGAAATTTTTATTGAAAATGGTAAGATCATTTCTAAATTGATTCGATATCGATAACTTTGTAATTTTTCTGCTGAAATGAATACGCCTACTGTGCTTGAAATTTTTGTTAAATGTTATTAAAATATCGATTGAAACTATATATGTTAGATTCTGTCTGTTGATTAACTATACATACAAGAACACGGTAATTTCACACTAGTTCTCAAATTAATGTGAAGAAATTTGTTTTCTATCTCATCAATGATATATTACATTATTATAGTTATAAACTCCTCTCTTTCTAAATCAAGAGTTCGTATTTTATAATCATTGTAAAATTTATCAAGGATATTATTGATCCTTCAGAAGTTTTTATCTGCGACAGTCGTAGAGTTCTTCAATTAATTGATTATTTATAGTAGACATTTTTGAATTTTAGGTCGTCAAACAATCGATGATTTATTTCCAGATCATATCAATACAGATTCTATTGTTCCATCCTTACGTTTAAATACTGATAATAGACAAAAATCAAAATTTCATACACATCATACGAACCCACCTGCTGCTCGTTTACCACGTATAGTTAAAATTCCATTAAAAGATAAATTTACATTTCCAACACGATTAATTCGTCTGGAATTCGATCATAGTACTGCTAATTATTATTCAGAAATTGATACAGTTATTTTATCTGGAAAAATTTCGCCAACGAATTCAATCGTAATTGAAGATACTCAACATATTCCATCTTCTACAACAGTTAGTTATATTTATTATTTGATTTTGACAATAGAGTTTTTCTATTTTAGATAATTCAGGAAAATGAATCTGACGAAAAGAATTATTCAGCTAATTTAACCAAACTTCCATTTGATATTTTATTTATAATTTGTTCTTATCTTGATTTACGTTCATTAGTTCGTTTATCATCAACATGTCATTTATTACATCGTCAATGTCTTGATTCATTACAATTTCAATCACTTAATTTACAACCCTATTGGAATGGTATAACAAATTATTCCATTGAAAATTTTTTTCGATATCATTGTATTCAAACACGTTATCTTTCATTAGCATGGACTAAATCAATACAATGTTCATCATTTAATCAATTATTAAATATTTGTTCGAATAATCTTGTTCAGCTTAATCTAGCCTGTTGTCAATATTTAACTGGACAATATATTAAAATAATTGTTAATTATTGTCCAAATATTGAAGTATTAAATCTAGAAAATTGTTTTTCATTAAATAATCTCGATTTTATACCATTAAAATACCTCAATCATATACGAATATTAAATGTTTATAGAACAAAAATTGATTATAGAACTTTATTACCATTTATTGATAATAATAAAAAATATTTAGAAAATATTAATTTAGGTAAAATGTTTTTTTGAACTTTCGTTTATATATAATTTATTTTTATTTTTAAGGTAGTTGTCAAAATTTAAATGATCCTATTGGTATACTTAAATTATTATTTGCTCGTTGTTCAAATCTTCGTTCTATTGATCTATGGCGTACATGTGGTTTAACTCAGAATGGATTTTTATCAGTAATTGGTTTACCATTTGATATTGGAGAAGAAAAACGACGAATATTAAATTTATCAAAAGATGAACAAGAAGAATTAGCTCTTATTTATTCAAGTGTTAATATGCCTATTGAAATTAATACAATAATGCATATAAAATATTTGAGTGAAGTCGATCTTGGATGGACTGATCCTCCGCCAGGTTTTATAAAAAGTTTTGTTCAACAAATTGGACATTCATTAATTAAACTGTTCTTAACAGCTTGTCGACGTAAGTTTAAATTGATATTACCATCTGATTCATTATTTTAAAAAAAAATCTAGGTGTTAATAATGAAGATATACTAGCAGTTAGTGAACATTGTCTTCAGTTACGTCAACTTGATTTACTTGGCTCGAGTATAATCGTTGAAACAAGTATTGAATCTATATTAACACGTTGTTTATATTTGGAATTTCTTGATTTATCATTTTGTGATAAAATATCTAATGAAACATTATCTATATGGATATGTCAATATAAAAATTGTTTTAAAAGAAGTTATTCACCAATGATGAATGATGATATTTATACAGAATTTACTTAATTGATTTGTACAAAAAAAACTTTCTTTTTCATTTTTCTATATTTTGTATATAAATAAATAAAATATCTATCTTCCAATTAACAAGTACATCATCGCATGTATTTATAATTTTTATCTAACATCTATATATATATGTCAAAAATAACTAATTGCCAATAATATAAATGAGTATATGACGTTTCATTGATTAATTAATAGACTTTTTCTTTTACTAGTATGGATTAATTATAATTTTCTTATTCGTCTATAGAAAAAACTTTATCTGATATTAATCCGTTTATACGTAAAAGAAAAAAAGGCCGGAAAAGAAAAGAATGTATGGTACATTACTTTTCTTTATAAAAAAAAACAACGACCCTCGTGCCCTTTTCCTGTCATTAGAATGTTTATTTCCTGAATTAATTCATTTTGACTGTCTAAGTAGATATCAGTTAAATAAAAAGGAGAAGAAAAAAAGAAAGAAAAAA